GTGCGTCCTCCAACACGTTTGGGGCAGTTGGGCAGTTCAGCATAAAGACGGCGGCTCGACCTGCGAGATATGCTCACTGAGGCTTCTGCGGCTTCCATGCAGGCCATATCCTCGACAGTCAAAGACGGAAAGATGCATTTGCGATCCCACGAGTGTTTAAAATAAAGACAGCACGTACCTCACGAATGCAGTCGTCGAGATATTAGCAACTGAGGAAACAACGGATGCAGACAGGCAGGCACGGGCCAGATGGCGGTTGCTGATTGCACTTGACTTGAAAGGAGGCTGTCTTGGCAAAGAGGAAGCAAGGGAAAACAACTGGCAAAGTTCTTGTCCGATGTGCTGCTTTGGATGTCTCTGCAACTCAACTGCTGTTTTTGTCACAGCCTCCGCACTGCTAGCTCGTTTGACTCCACGCACTCACTGCTGAAAGTCACCCGCCCATCGACCTACAATCCCGCACTTTTGCCTATGTGCTGTAGATAGCATCTCGCTATTCGGGGCTCCGACGCTTGGCCATGCGCTGCGTCCAAGCCATGTCCCTTCTCACCTCAGTTGCGAGTGGGGCTGTGCCAGAACGAACGGACATAAGTTCATCTAGACTCAGCAGCCACCAACCGTTTATTGCGTCGGCCGAAACTTCTGCGGTCGACTTCACGGTGCTCCTGGATCCAATACCTACGTGCTGGTGCAGAGCCCATCTAGAAGCCCTTCTGGAACCCTTAGTCCAGGGTTCAGGCTTATGGCTGTAGGGTTTAGGGTTTAGGGTTGGCACCCTGAAATCTTAAACATCCGCAAAACCCTAAAACCTACAACACCGGGTTTAGGGTTTAGGGTCGGAACCCACGAACTCTTCCCATAGGCCCCATGGTAGTTCCTCTTTGGGATTCCCTGATACATTCCTAAATATAAGCCACAAAAAGGAACTACTATGGGGCCTATGGGTAAACCTAAGATCCTTGGGACGTTTAGGAGAAAGCCAGGCCTCTGGCTCGAAGCGCCCGGCTGCTAACCCGGCCTTGGCTCTAAGGGAATTTTTCTCTTAAGGAGTTTACCCAAAGGGTCCTGGGTACGGTTATGGGGGATACTTTCCCAAATCATAATAACAATTCCTAATACAGAAACCCTACATTCTACCATATAGGTACTTTGGACCCTTTGGGTTAGGTCCTCACAAAGATTAGGTACTTGGGTTTAGGAGACAAGGAAGGGCTTAGGGCTTAGGGCTTGTAGGGACTAGGGTCCAGGGTAAGGTTCAGGGTTTCGGGTTCAGGGTTTAGGGCGTCAATTGCGTCAATTCTAGTGAGGTTCTATTATCAGTCTGCTTGCTTCTAGCTGATTATCTATGAAACTTGTATTTCGAGGGTGGCTGGTTTGCAGGGAATCTTCGATTTGGGGCATCGTCCAATACGCTTGAAAACTGTTGCGTGACCTTTTTGGTCAATCACGCATTTATAAGGTTTATTACATCTCAACCCAAAGTGGCTCAGAGTGAGGGTTTGGGGACTGGGGTTTGGTGAAGCCTGTTGCTTGTCGGTTTCGGGTGCTTCAGGTTTGGCTTTTCTTGCCGCAGGGTTTAGGGTTTAGGGTTCAGGGTTTAGGGTTTAGGGTTTAGGGCGTAGGGCTTAGGGCCTAAAGTTTAGGGTTTCACAACAAACCAGCTTGCTCTGGGTTGACTACGCTGGGTGTCGGCTGGCTACCAGTCCGGGTCTCCTGTAGCCTCAACCCCTGGCAAACCCTCGGCTCTGACCTCTTGACCCTAGACAATAAACCCTGCTAAACCCTAAACCCGAAACATGGAACCCTTATGGGGAGAAGCATGCAGGGGCCCCTTCACCGCCAACACCCGAAGACCCTAGGTAGGGGGATTTCTTGAACGTTCCTATAAGGTTTAATTAGGGATTAGGGATGCTAAATCTTAGAAGTCACATGACTTAAACCTCAAACCCCAACCCTCAAAACCCTGAACCTTTGATGTGAGCCCCTCTTTCCGAGCATGGGAGTCTTTAATGCGTTCTATTGTTTGCTCAGGCCGACACCAACATTTTTTGGGGGAGGTTTCTTTTTGACCGGCCGAGTTGTTTTTGTTTGCTTCTTTTCTGTCTTCTTCCCTGAAGCCAGCCTAAACCCCCTCCAAACCCTAAACCCCAAACCCCCCTCAACCCTGAACCGTGAAGATGAAGACCCTAAGACCCTAACCCTACTGTACTGCTACTGTACTACTGTACTATTGCTGTACTACTACTGCTCTACTACTGAGCCCCCAGGGATCCCCAAACCCTTCTTAGTCAAAACCAACCAGACACCTAGCCAACCCAAGCCCCCAGTCCTAAACCCTAAACCCTAAACCCTAAACCCTAAACCCTAAACCCTAAACCCTAAGCCAAAGCCCCCAATCCTAAACCCTAAACCGAACCAGGGACAAGGGGAACACGACTAGCATATTAAAGAAGCCGCACAGGAATGGTCGGGAGGGGGGGAGGCCTCGTGATGAAAACAGACCGCCACGTTACACCATAAACCCCCGAAGCCTGACCCCAAAATCCTGAACCCTCCGAGCCCGAAGAGGACCCACTTTTGGCCAGCACAACAAGCGAAAGAATCATGGGGCGTGGAGCTCACTATTGGATGCACCAGCGCACCGACATTTAGAAGGCGGTAACCCCATATGGGTAGTTGTCAAAATTATGGTCCCTTTTGGGGTACCCTAAATAATAGGTGCCGTGTTATAATAAGGACCCAAAAAAGGGACCATAATTTTGACAACCACCCATATAGACCCTAAAGCCTAAATCCTCAAGCCTCATGCAGAACCCGGGTTTATGCCACAATGAAAGGGCAGCAGGCATGGCACTCTTACATCGCCGTCGTTCAGGACATATTCCGAACAAGCGGCGTCAAATCCGACAGGAACTGCCCTCCCAGAACACCCAGCAGCCCGCAAGGAATATACCTTGAGCCTTAAGACTTACCCTAAACCCTAAACCCTAAACCCTAAAACCTAAACCTAAACCTAAACCCTAAACCCTAAACCCCCACAGGGCCCCAAAGGAAGTTGAAGTTAAGAGGACGGCTGTTGGGTTCCCTGGGCCGACCTCGATAACTAGCTGGAATCGGGTCAAGGGTAGGGGTCCTCTTCGGGCCCATACGGAGAGGTCTGATTAAGACAACAACGAGCTCGGGTCATGGGTTTGGACTGTGCCCCTGGAACACCCGCCCTAAACCCTGAACCCTGAACCCTAAACCCTGGGTTTAGGGTTTAGGGTTTAGGGTTTAGGTTTTAGGGCAAGCCTGAACCTTAAAGCCTAAACCCTGAACCCTCAACCCTGAACCCTAAACCCTAAACCAACACAGGTTCTCAAAAAAGGGTTTAGGGTTATAGGGGCCTTCAAGGCTTCAGGGGCTCAGGGCCTGGGGGTTCAGGGTTTAATTAGGGGTTAGGGATTTAGTTAGGGTTTAGGGCTTAGGGGTTTAGGGTTTAGGGTTTAGGGTTTAGGGTTTAGGGTTTAGGGTTTAGTTAGGGTTTAGGGCTTAGGG